AGCAGTTGATTTGGCCTTCTTTAGTGTTTTTCTAATACATTCTTGGGGATAATTATTGATATTAAGCAGTGTTTATACTTTGTTAAAATATCTGAAAAGAGGTGATGGGTACATATGATCTGAAAATAAAATTTATTGTTAACATTTGTTAACTATAAACATATTGTTAACCTTACGTTTCAAATTCACATTATATTTTTCACGTGGTGTTTAGTGACTTCTGCCAACAATGTTCTTGGCTGGGATAACCATATTTCATAAATATAACTTGCTTTAAATAAGATGAATAATATTAACAATATTGAATAAAAACTATGTTGTGGCATCCAAACAATTTTCTGTTGCTTCCAATACTATAAACTTACTCAATGTCTTGTCATACAAGAATACAGTGGTTGAATATGTTAAATTAATTTTGAAGCTTCCCCACATCATTACAGTCTATGTTGCCACCCCAGTCATTCCTCATCTCATGGCTGTGCATTGTGACAATAGCCCTACGGTGTAGTTTCCATTTGAAAAAAGGCTCCATCAGGAGACATTAATGTCCAAAATACACCATTTCTTCTTGCATGCTTTTCAAAAAATTAAGCTAGCGCATGTTTCCCAGCAGTCACTTCAAAAATCCAATTGCACAGAAACCCATAGAGGTGACATCTGGTGACTTGACCAGTATCTCTTCATATGGAATATCATGAAAACCCATTACATTCTCCAGCTGCATGAAGTATGTGATGGTTGAATGGATATGTTGTGGAAGCAGCTTGTGCCATTTTTTCCAGATGGAGGTTCTTCTTAATTATGTTGTGTACTGTTACCTGGGGCACTGATATTTGTGTTCATAGATTTACCTGTTACAAGGTGCTGCACTTCACTCATTACTGCTGGAGCATGACCTGCTGCAGGTTTCTTTCTTAATGTTACACCTGACTTAGTAACTTGCATATTCAAAATCACTTTAATATGGCTTACTCAACCCTCTGTATCGTGTAGCTTTCAATGATATATAAATCAATGCAAAAACATTATGGGACTGAAAACAGCATCACAAATAGCTGTAAGCAAAAATTCCTGGATCTGTGATTTTCCCAAGTGCTGTAAACTTTACATTAGGATATATCTTCACCCTTATGGAAGCTTTGGATAAATATTATATTGGCAAACGATAAATTACTACTACAAATATTTTATGTACTCTTCACTGAAATAGGTAGTAGATTAGAATCTTTTGTATCCAATCATTTTTAGCCATTGCTATTCTGAAAGTTGAACTTCATTACTATAACTGTTTAGATCACATGTTGTAACATCATATAAAGGTGGCAACAAAGGACTGGAATAATAAAACCAGTAACACAGAAGAAAAATTTTGTGAAAAACAAGACAGGGATCATGGTATTTCCAAGGAATGGTACTTTTTAAGCAAATATAGATTATGATTTCAGGTGAGCATAAAAATACTAAAACAATATTAATATGTTGTTTAAATACAAGACTCCTCAGAGCTGTTGAGAAATGCAGGTTCAAAAGTTTTCCATTTTTTATTGTGAAATATGCCAAGTGTTATAAAATGATAAAATATTGCTTCTATAATATTTTTGAGTATTTTGTACTTACATTTTAAACTTAATATGCAAGTTTGCTCTCAACACCTAAAACGTGGAAACCATTTGTGACAGGGTTAATGCAAACAAAAACTCCCAAAAGAAACTTTATTTAGATAAGCAGTGTAAAACTCTAAAAATAAGCCTGAGAAACATGCAGCAGTAATATGAAAGAAGCAAATAACTGCAAATTACTATATTTTTTATAGACAATTATAAAATCTAAATAATCAGGTTTTTGTTCACTAACACAAAAAAAAAGAGAAGAAAATTGTCAGTTTTTTTTGCCTACAAAGTACAATTTTGCTGAAAAATTTTAAATAGAATATAAAGTAATCTCATACTCATAAGCTAATATTGTGCTTTATATTTGAAGAAGTAGATTAACTATGGGTTAGGTGCATTGCGTCTACTATGTAACCACCAAAGTAACCATGAGATTAGTCTTACTAAATATAACTAACTTTCAATAATGCATGTGTATCCTCACGAATTCAGACTATCAGAAAACATTATCATTATGGACTATTTGTACAAAAAAATCAGATTTTTTAATTATAATTTGCTTTCAGAACATTGGTTGACTATCCAATATGCAAAGTGTGATTTTGATTTTAAGATTAAAAATACTTTTCTTCAACTGAAAACTGTCAAATTTCATTTGCATAATCTCTAAAACATCCAAAATAAATATCAAACATTTTTTTCCCAGAAAAACTTAATCTTTTATTTATTTTTTTACCATAACTCTGCATGGGGTTTGTCAATTTGACTCATCTTGTAACCACCATAAAAATTACAAACAAATCTAAATTTCTCTTTTTTCTTTCTAGAATAACTGAAAACTGTAACAGGAAACCATATTTGTTTATTCTAAATTGCTTAAAGCTTGTCATAGAATACATATATTTTATATTCATAAATATTTTTTTTTGTTTTATTGCCATTTGAACTGAGTAACTAATAATCTCACCACACAAGCTGTAAATAATGCAGTGCATGTTACTATATTGAATAGCATAAAACTGGCCTACAAAGCACAAATCTCTCCCTCTTCTTAATCTTAGTACTAATGTACCAATATTATGTAAAACACAGTGACACTTCAGTTACCATGCTTTATATATGTGTATATATTATTACCATTTACAAATAAATTCTTAAATTTCAGTTATTTTTCTTAAAACATGGGACAGTAAATACAAAATATATAGAAAACAATGATTCTACTACTTGCAATGATACAATGTGTTTTGTACTCGTGCATTGAATTAGCTAATCCCTGTCAAATATCACAGGTGGAGGAGGTAGACAAATTAATTTTTGTAGATTTTATATATGTATTGTGGAATAATAACAAATTATAAATTACTATACTAATATCACAAAAATATGCTGTAATCTTTCAGGCTTCCTAACTAAGCTGTATTTGAGTCTAAAACTTCAAATATAATAATGGTTATAATGACTTTTCCAGTGTAGGTACTTTAGGATGATTGACAGGATTATGCAGTTCAAAATGAGTGCTTTTGATTGGTTATAAACATGTACTTAACCCTATTGCCCTGGGTATCCTTTGCTGCACATGACAATATTTTAGTGTCTTACATTCAAAATTTTATTAAACTACTTTTTGTTTATGTTATACCAATTAGAATAGCACAAAATCTTAGCTAATAATCCATATTTTAATAGTATACAAGTTTTAAGTTCTTAATTTTACAATAGAATATTTTTTAAAATCCTGAATTTCCACTACCCATGTGACATTTTGTCCTGGCATGTCATCATCCCTATTTTATCCATCACCCCTTGAAAATGTACAAAATTAAACATATATTACTCTCTATAAAATCATTATTGCTCAGACAAACCATAATTTTTTTTATAGTCTTCAATTTTGTTTGATTACAGAGCTATCAAATAGAAAATCAGACCCTCTTGCCACAGCCTCTCTTTCACAATTCGTTGATAGTTCTCCCTTACGTTTCATTATATATTATCTATAACTGATAGAAAGTCAAGGTTTCCATCTATCAAATAACGTATTGTATAAAGCTTGTTTTCTGAACAGATAATTGTCAATTTCACTCAGAGTAGCAACATTTTTCCAGTGGGAAAGTTAATGACTGGTTTGGATGAATTTGTAATGTCACATAGTTAGAAAGTCAGTAAAATTGAGAGGTAAGTGAATTTGTCTACTTTTTGCATGTTATTAGTCTATATTCTTTGGTACATTACTTAATTAAGTAAAAATTATTAAATGCTATACTATCTATAGTATAAAAAACCTGATAGCAAGAAAAAAGAGGATTAGGTAATTACTTAATTTTTTGATTTTCATATTTATTCTTTATTTATTATTGTAAAAGTAACTAAAATCTAAAAATACAGATCTTTTAAAGTTATTTCAGACTACATTAGGTAAAATAACTAATAATAATATAATTAAAAGGGTTCACGAGGCACGCACTCGAGCAGCTCATGGATAATGTAATTTGATAGCACATTACCAGAGTGATTTACAACTTATAATAGCCCGGATAGTAGTTAGACATGGTTCAAAGGGCAATAAAACAATACAATTTAATTATAAATAGATGTACAATGTTACAAACTTAGAGCAACTTAAGATAAACGAATGTAGTTTCATGTTACAATTTGAAGTCATTCTAGAAAGAAAAAATGGTTAATTTAGGTTTATTTGAATTTTTTTGGTGGTTACGAGGTCAGTTGAATTGATCAATCCCGTTTTGAGATAGGGTAGAGAAAATAAAAGATAAACTATAAAGTTTTACTGAAAAAAAATGTTTGAAATGTATTGAGGAGGTTTTAGGGACTACAGAAAGGAAATTTGAGATGAAAAGTATTTTTAATCTTACTTTGCACATGAACTATTCATAACAAGTACTCAATATATTCATGGACAAATTTTTATTTTAGTTTATTAAAAATACTCACTAAAAATATTATTTTTTGTATGTGAAAGTCTTATAATGTCAATTGAAAAACTGCCAAATTTTATGAAGATGCACATATTATATTGAACGAGTATATTGAACTTTAACGAGTACAAAGAGGTCACATGGTTAGTCAAATTGACCGAGCCTGAGTTAAGAAATTAAATAATATACAATACTAAAATTTGAATGATAAACTACAATTTGATGCCAAATTTATTGGCATACATTCATAAAACTGTAGTTTAATACAATTTTGAATGTAAGTCTACAAAATGTGATGATATGCTGTGAACCTTACCCAATACCCTCTGAATCCTAACTGTAGGGTAAAGGTTAATATCTATACAATTAGAATACAGTTATAAATATATTGTGAAATTATATACCATTTAAATATACCTCTAAATCTTAGAGAAAACAATGAATAACTTACTTTATCAGATCCTATAACATCACTTAAAAAAGCAGTGGGAGCAGTATATCCCGTTCTTTTATTCTGCATTAGGGAGGTTGTTTCATAATCATCATCCTGTAAAAGACAAATTATAAACAAGATTAACAAAATAGCAAATCTTATTACTTAGAGCAGAAAAACTGATACAAGTCTGGAATTATGAATGTTTGTTAATATAATTTTAAAACCATAGCATACTGTGATTTTTAATAAAACATAAAACTATGGATACATAACAACTGAAATACTGTAAACTTCACTACACAATCCAAGTCTGATAAAAGAGTTAGCACAAAGGATCACATATAAAGTGTAATAAACTTAAAATAAGACCCAAAACTCGAGTGCTTTCGAATAGTTGACTATTCTTCTTCTTTGTTCTCCTGAAGAAGAATAGTCAACTATTCGAAAGTGCTTGAGTTTTGGATCTTATTTTAAGTTTATTACACAATTCAAGCAATATTTAATCAAATATCAATAATCAAGAAAATTCTAATTGGTAAATGATAATAATAATCCAGGATGTAGTTGAAAGCAGTTGATCAACTTGGAAATGAAATATGTTGCACAAATGTATGAATTTTTGAAGAAATATGAGAAGAATCAAATATGGTTAAAAGTAAAAAAATACCAAAGTTTCAATAAGAATAAATCATTAATTTGAAAACCATTAAAGATGAATGTACCACATTTGACTCTGTACCTGTCACTAACCAACAAAAAGTAATAATTTAATTATCCAACACAAGTAAAAAAAAAGAAATTTTTAAAATATGATTTACATTTTATTGTTATTTGATTAATTAATTATCTATAAGCATCAATTACATTGATTAATATTACTAAAATAATCAACTACTGTTTCTGATGATTACCATTTCTGATTGTTCTAACTACCCAGTAACTGAGATTAAAATCAAATTGATTAATGGCATGAAAATGATCAACTAATCAAAATTAGGGTTTCTTATTATTAGTTATTCTGCCCATTACGAGTATCAAAACTTTATTTTCAGCATTATGTTTTGCTTTTTCTAGCCATCTCACTGAAGATTAATGGATTTGTTGGTTTTTTTTATAGGTATCCCATGACAATCAATTAGTTAAATGTATTTGACTAATAGACCAAACATTACAGAAAATTCCACTAACTAGCAGCTCTAGTACTGATTAGCTAAACTTACCAATACTTTTGATGGTGTTGATTTAATAACATTTCGCTATATATTAAAAAAATAATACAGACTAACAGTCAAAAAATATACTTACATCAGCATCTGCATCGTCATTTGCCGCAATTGAGGTAACATAGCCATCAAACCTGCTCTTGGTCCCTCCATATATATCTTCATCCATATATGCTCCATCAGAAGCTGCAAGTGGTACTCCTTCTCCATTTTCATCTAAGGGTGCTAATCCAGCTTTCTGTGCTTGAATAGCCTTAATTTGTGCTTCAATTTCTAGTGGCAAAAACAACAACTGTGATTCATATTATGAAGATACATTTATCATACGAACATCTGTTAGTGAAAACATTATTATTGTCTTCAAACATATGGCTAAATAGAAATCTAATCTTACATTTTCAATCTTTCAAACAAAAGAAAAAGTACTAACAATCCATTTAGTTTCATATCTGAGTTGTAATTATATATTAATCTTTTGGGACCAGGGCTAACATTCACTGTATCTATATCATGTATTTATAGCAAAGTTACTAATAACATCTGCCACAATCCATAATTTTGAATTACTGACCATAGAGAAGTCAGCAGCATCTTTCCAATCACACTAAGGAATCACATGTTTCTCTAATAATACAGCTTAAAACGAAGGAATATTTTGTGGTATCAAACTCAGCTCACAAACTCCAAAATCCAGAGTTCTACCACAGAGTCAACCCATGCCCAACTATGATTGAAAGATACTAGTAACAGAAATAAAATTTTGTAAAGGTGTACATGTATTTAAGTACATCTATACTAAAATGTTACATCTTTCCAATGAAGCTCAAACACTGATATGGTTCATTCTTTTATTCACTTGAGATTTTTTACATAAGTAGGGAACAATTTTTTAAAGGACAAGACAAGTATGTATAATTTTTGTAACCAAAATACTTATATCTTTTGATTTCTTAAATTTTAACATTTTTGTTAGCAGAAATTTCTAAATATTATATATTTAAAATGGGAAAAGTTTTATAAGAATTTAAGTACACAGAAAAAGTTCAGTTTGAATTTTCTAAGAAAAATAACAAATATTCAAATAAAATGCAAATCTGTGAACTGTTAAAACAAATAGTGATATTGTATATGGTTTTAATGTAGTTAGAAAAATAATCTATTAGCTCTATTTGAAAAACAAATTATTTGTTGCTTTTCAAAATCTGTTTTGAAATTACTACCATTTAACTGTCATTTTGAAAATGAACCAATATCACTGAATTTTACACCCTGAGGTGCAAATACTACTTTTGATATCAGCAAAATAATATTACTGTAACAAACAATAAAGCATAAACATAACTAAGTTTACTAAAATAAAAAAATTGTTGTTACAATCATTTATTAACTCTCCAGAATAGCAATACTAACACAGAATCATTTTCCAAATTTCCACATCTAGAATGCAAACTTTACATTTCTAACTATTAAATCTACTTATTAGCATATTTAATGGAATTGTCAAAGTAATTTTGGATAAGAAAAATATTACTAAACAAACAGCTCTACACTGCCCAAGATGTTATCCTAATCATTAAGATACATAAAAAAGGTCACAAAACAAACCTGTTAAGGACTCGCTATTTAAACCTTCAATCTTAGTGAAATATCAGATTGGTGCCGATGCACCTAAGATCAACTGATATCAGGATTGGGCAATCTTGGGCACTCTGGCACCAATCCATTATTTTACCCATTCTCCTACTTGGAAAGAAGAAAAAGCCCACCTATCATCGTTCGTTTTATATCACTAAGCCATTTTACAACTTACATTTTATATCTCCATCAATCTAAATTGCTGATAAATCCTTTGTAAAAGCCATAAAAAATTATCAATTGTGACAGATTAATCTAGAAAGGCTGAATCCCATTAAAAACCTCAAAGAATCAAGTAAATGCCAACTTTCCAAATTAAAAAAGTTTTCTCAATGGTCTCAATGCTAACAATAAAAACTAATAGCTTTATACCGAGTTTGAACAAATGGTCAGCATTTGATAAACAAGTGATCGACTTTGGATAATAAAGAAAATTTGTTAATAAATTCAATTTTTTTTTGTAAATTTTCACATGAAAACAGATAAAAATATTTCTTATCAAATCATTTATAAATGAAATCATGATTGAGAAAAATGGCAACATTCAAAAACTCAAAACGTGGATTAAATGATAACCAGCAGCTACCCACTGTCAGATTTTTTTACAGTAATAGGTACGTGTATTGACACAAAATAGATATTTGAATAACTTATCTTCTAAATGGAAGACACTGTACTAGCTAATTTAGTCAAAGTACTGGAACTGGGTTTCTCAAAAGTATGTCAGAACCTCTTTACATTTGGAAAAAAGCCTCCTGTTGCCAAAAGTTTTGAAAACACAGTTACACCAATTATCAAGATTATAATCCTTTCTATATTAAAGCCTAATATTCTTTGATATTCTATTTAAAGATCTGATTTTACAGCATCAGCCTTTGTTTTGTTGTTTACATTATTTATATTACTAAGCTTTTTTCATTGGTTTCTGTTTATCTTGGAGCTTAGTTTGCAAACAAAAACTCTTTCAATACATGTTATTTCAAAGAAAGTATTAAAGTTTGAGATTATTGAAAATATGGATTCCCAGCAAGAATGGGCACTGAAACTGCATCTATTTACTTAATCAGGTATTACCTGTGCACCAATCTATCAACTATGTGTCTTATAAGTATTTAAGTAACAAAAGCTATAGCACTGAATGAGATATGTTTGAAATACAGTTTCCTGTCATTAAAATTCAATAAAATATATATATTTTTTTTTATCGAACCATCACCTTATATATTTAGCCTTCAGTTCTGTCCATAAAACCAAGTTAAATGAATGTGCAAGGGGTTGGTCCACTGAACTTACCACATATTAGAAAATGAATGTTGACTATAATTTACAATGTATATCTACACAAAATGTGGTGAGCTTTTAGTCAGTATATACAAACAACAACAGGATCTGAATTCAAGTCTTTATTTCATGACAAAATTAAAAGAATCAATAGTGGGCACCATGACATAATTGACGGGGGCTCTAACAAGCCATCACAAAACTCAATTTACAGGTGCTTTAGAGCATCATTGTGATGGCTCCTGTAAAATGTGAAGGACTACACCTTGGTTTTTTTCATTTCAACTATTTGGGAAGAGTATTTGTTATAACATAATTCATGAAAACCATTTCCCTAAGAAATGAAACGGATTAACACTACTAATTTACATGACTCCTTTTTAAGTACCAAAACTAAGTATCCTGTATAGGTCACCAAAGAACATAAATAGATAAACCTAAGTTAAATTCACAAGATGGGTTTGGTTTAAAAAAAAAGATAGATTGACAGTTCATTCACCTGAAAATACCATATAACCCTCCCTCCATAACTCTTTACTAAATCTGAGCGATTTGATATAATCAATCATCTATGAGCACCGATTACATCAATTAGTGTCACATCATCTAATCATTTAAAATTACAACTGAAGTAATTGAAATATTATTCTTGTTGTTAAGCACAAAGCTACATAATGGGTTATCTGTAATCTTCCAAATACAATGTTTTTTTTACTTCAGCTCTGGTGATTTTCTGGGGAGAGTTGTGATTAGAGGATCTTGTGTTCAATTTTCATTACCACCAAACTTGTTTGCCCTGTCTTTGTTATGGCAAAGCTAATAAGGCAACTGCATGGCAGCACCAGCTTCCAACTTTTTATTTTGTTTTTCTTCTACTTGAACTGCTGATTAGTTGTAAGGCAAGTAGCTGGTAGCACCCATTGCTAGAGCTGGGCAATTAGTGTAATTTCATGATCAATTAACCCTATTGCCATGGGTATCCTTTACTTCACATGACACTAGGTTTTAGTGTTTTACATTCAAAATTTTATTAAACTACTTTTCGTTTATGTTATACCAATTAATATAGCATAAAATCTTGGCTAATATTCCATATTTTAATAGTATACAAGTTTTAAACTCTTAATTCTATAAGGCAATATTTAAAATTATTCTGAATTTTCCCTAGTGTGACATCATAATTTTCTCTAGTTATCTTCTCTGTTCTATTCCCCCACCCCTCCAGTAACTACGAAATTAAATGTAAATTACTCACTATAAAATCATCATTGCTCAGAAAAATCAATTTTTATAGCCTTCTATTTTGTTTGGTTATAGAGCTATCAAATAGAAAATCAGACATCCTCTCCTTCAGGATTTGTTAATAGTTTTCTCTTACGTTTAATTATATATTAACTATAACCAATAGAAAGTCAAGGTTTTCATCTACCAAATGACGTATTATATTACATTGTTTTCTGAACAGATAATTTTCAATTTCTCTTGTAGTACAAGTTTCATTCCCACAGGAAAGGTAAAGACTAGATTGGTTGAATTTGTAATGGGTCTTGTTACATAATTAGAAAGCCAGAAAAATTGTAACTGTTAGAGGAAATTGTCTACTTTTTGCATACTATTATTATATGTTCTTTGGTGCACTAATTAATTAAACAAAAGTTATTTAATGCACTTGTACCATTAGTATAAAAAAAGTAGGGTTAAGTGTCATTGACAGTACACAGACAAGGAAAAAAGCCACCTGATGATGGCAGAGCTTGATTTTAACTGTCATCCGAGACGACTAAAAACTTCCTCAGGCAACGACCAACATAAACCTTCATGTTGTCTGATGGACAACTAAAACCCTGGAACAGATCCTTACTCAAAACAGCACTGCAGACTACTGTACACTTATCCATTCCCACACTACATATGTAATATTGACTCCGATCTTCGACGAAAATCTTCGTTAAATTCCTTAACTAAGAACTTGAAAATTGGAATCCACACAAAAATATCTTTTCGTCCATTTCTTTTTGTTTAAAAAAGATTGTATTTTGTACAAGAGAAATGTTAGAAAAAGTTCATTTTTGTGATTGGCTAATAATGCTGTTTTAGCCACTAAACCTTCTGTTGTGGACAAGTTGCACGTCATTTTGTATGGAGTTCAACTGAATGTGTGGTAACACAGTACAATGTATAAAGCTCAGTTAGTTAAATTACCACATATTTTTTACAAGTTACAGCATTTACAGTAAGTAAGACTAATTTTTAAAATCAGTAAGTAAATTTAAAGTGAAACTATTACCACACATTGTATTGCACAAGGTTTGTATGCATACACATAGGCAGGTGTGAATTTACAGTGAAAACGAATTCTGATATCACAAATATTTAGTAAGATTAATTTCTGGTACAAATGCTTATAACAATAAAACTAGCATGGCAGTCTCAAGTTATTACCAATAAACCTTTGATAGGGACTAAAATGATCAAATTACAAAATCAAACTCAGAATTTCCAGTGTTAATCATAACAGTTGAAATACTGGCCTCCTTTCTGATTATGCACATATAGGCCTAAGGTTAATGTTAGACACAGACAACCAATTGAGTCTATGAAATATGGAAGGCCTAGCTACCATGAGAAAAGCGAGAAAATCCACGAATTAAACAGATCATAATAATGATAACTGCATCCAAAAACTTTATGAAAATTTTGATCAGTACGAAACAGAATAACCAAAAATAAGGCTAGCTTTGCCTCTCTCCAGGTCAATACAAACTACAAGTATGAATTACAATACATATCAGCTGTGTGTGTTTGCATATATGCAGTGCTCAGGCATTGTGTAAGTATTACAGTATAGTAATATAGCAAGTTTTGAGTTGAATATATGTTCTCTAATAACAAACACGTCATATTAATCTTTAAAATATTTAAAGCATAACGATGTTAAGCAACTGTCTGACTAACATTTTCATTACCTAATGTAATACTAATACTAGTAATAACAAAATATATTTACCTTCAATTGTTTTCGGGGCAGCTGCCGCCATGTTCCTTTCCAAAATGTAGCCTAATCGAACTTACTGCTTAACTAGTAAGGCCTATTTACTGAAATAAAATGTTTAATTGATAAAAATTTCACTTTGAAGGTAATGGGCAGCCACTGAACTACAGACAGAACCTAATGTTAACTACAATAAACATATATTTAGTTAAATTACACGTGCCCTCTTTTTTAAAGCATTACAAAGTTAAAACTTTGCCTAATCCTTAGATCCAATATGGCGACATAAGAGCGTAGCTATCAGCGACCAATGAAATTTGTCCTCCTGATGTAAGCGTGAGGGAGGGGGGGGGGGTCAAAGTATTATACCGCTTAGTGGCGTTACTGTATGAATGTGATATCCCAAAGTATAAAAGAAAAGAAAACATCAACTGATCTGCTAACGAAAATGATAGGAACGTTAATGAAAATATTTTTTTTGTTATTAGTTTTTGTATTATCATTCTTATTTTGAACATGCACTCAAATGTTTATATATAAAGAATAATGGAATAAATAGCTGAGTAAAATATACAAAATTATGTTAAGAAAGGTAGAACTTTGAGGCTTCAACATAAATTTTGAATTAAGAAGTTTTTTTTTTCATGTCTAAGTTAATTGCAACGAGATATTCAAATAAAATATTATGCCTTAAAAATATTAAATCAACCGCTTATTCAACGATCGAAGTTCACGTTCTGTTATTTTGTTTACATTTTCAGAATTGAAGATGTACTGGTAGTGTGCTCATTTTACAGTTAAAAGCTGGTTTTCTTAGCTTAATAACAAGAGCTTCTAGCACTCTAAAATATAATTCTCATCGGAATTGAGAATAATGCGGAAAAACTGGAAGTAGGCCCAACATCTCCTTCATTTAGACAATGGTTAATAATACACCTGCTATTTAAGACATGCCGCTGTGCCACTTGGGGTTTCATTCATGAATTAAAAAAAAAATTAAAGAAATATCAAACAGCTATAGTGTACATGTTCAGTAAAATGTCTAGGTTCAAAGGGCTCTCCAACTTTAATGACAAACAGATATTCATTGAATACTTCGCTGGTAGTATAAGGGCTCATGTGCCAAAGATGCAAACAGGAATATATTGGTCTAACCAAAGTCGAATATAAGAAGACTGTAGCGCTAAAATCAACAACACCAGTAGTGTTACCAACCACTGTCTAAACGAATGCGATGCTGTGCCTACATTCATTTTTTCTATGTTATTATTTATTCCGAGGAAGAATTATATTTTAGAATGCAAGAATCTCAAGCAATTATGATAAGAGAACCAACTCTAAGCCAGAAGATGAGCTAACTATCTATTTTCAACTGTGAAAATGTAAAGAAAAGAACATAACATGAACTTTGATAGTTTAAGATATTTAATTAAGTTATTTTTCTTTGGGGGAATACCAGATTCAAGTGTTAAACTTAATAAAGTTTTTGGCGATATCTTTACTAAAATGGCACTATTGGGATATCCAAGATGTTTTATAAGTTTAAGTGGATGATAACTCTACTTGGATAATAATATAATTAAAAATATCATGTTGTAGGAAAGCTTAGAGATCTTACTAGTAGCATAGATCATGGCACTGATGAGATATATTGTAGACTTTAAACAGGCTGAGCAAGAAGTTGAAGTTGTACTATTTGGCTGTAACACATGTTTGCCACTCTTTTCAGCTTAAAGTTAAGTTCACTAATTTATTTCCTTTTCTCTATACTTTCCAAGGTTCGAACATGGCATTGCTCAAGAAAGTATCTGACTTTAATTTTTCCTAGAAAGTAAATGGATCAAGTTGAAATTAGGTACTTGATGTCTGATTCTCTTACAGGACTAAAAACACGTTTTTTTAATTAACAAGCCGAATTATTCTTCTCGGCGAATCGAGCAGTAGTTACGGTTGGACTAGCCCATGATATTGTAGCTCTTTGACCAACTGATCTATCAGGCACCAATCACTGTTTTATTGTATCAGAGACTCAAGGGTTTCTTGTCATATTTAAAACAGTGTTGGAGCATAAGACAGCAGATTTTATGCAGGATTTTGCCAGATTTTACAAAGATTTTTACTAAACTTTCACCCAGTGTTTTTTAACTTTCGTTTCTACATGTTGATTGACACTGGTTCTACAGTTATGATTGTTTGACCATATTTTGTAATGAAAGGCAAAAACTGACTCCAGATACAAAGAAAGAAGAAGAAGATTTGCAAATAGCAAGTGGACATAAGGTTTCAACAAGAAGAAAAGTAGAAGTTAATCTTATTCTAGGAAACTTTTCAGTGTCTAATGATGTATTTGTAATGGTTACAAGAGGATAAGCCTTTTTATTGGAAATTGGTACAAACCATCAGATGAAATTGATGAAGTTAATTGCAAACTTTACCAGTGAGATAAATATTTCAGCTGTTAATTAGGTTATAATTATGGGGGATTTTAATTTCAGGCATATAGACTGGGAAATTTTAGAGTCTTATGATTCGGGAGACAGGTTTTTGAAATGTTTTGGATGTTTTTCTTCAACAATTGGTTAGTGATCCTAATAGGAACAACAGGACAGGGTGGTGATTGAGGAAATTCTGAGTGTAAGTGGTCATGGCTCAATTAGAGTTGATGTTTTCTGTACATGAAGATAAGGAATAATGATATTTTGGTTCCAAATTTCAAAATTATCTGCTATGAATTAATAGGAGATATTGATAAAATTTGGAAAAAAATAATTAAATAGTTCAGATAGGCATGTTCCTTATAGAAAGAAAAAATGGTGGCTGCAAGTATAAAAACCTGGTTGGCTCACAAAAGGTATAAATGATAAAAATATAGAAAAGTAATAAGAAAATAAGAAGTTTAAATTGACTGCAGAGATGGAAGGTTTGGTGTATTATAGAAGATCCATAGAGTTGGTCAAACGGTAAATTAGGAAATGAAAAACGATATGAAAAAGGCTGACTGAAAATGTAACATTAATTGGTAAGTATTTCTTTAAATATAATAAGAGTAAGCAAAATATTAGGATAGGAGTAAAGCCCTTGAAGGATGATACAGGAAAACTTATATCTGATTATTATTGGACAGGTGGGTTATTAATTTCTATTTTTTTCAGTTTTTACTAATGAAGATTGAAAGCAACATTCCTCAACCCGAAGAGTTGCAAGATGGAAAAAAGCACCTTAATTCTGAGCTTGGTAAGAAAATATAGGAAAGTTTAAAGAATGGTAAAGCTCTTGGGTCATATGATATTTATCCAAGGGTTTTGAAGGAGGTTAAGGATTGGATACATGAGCCACCTGCTGATCTTTTCTCTAAGTTCTTGAATAATGGACAGGTGCCAGAAGGTTAGAAGATGGCTACTGTTATTCCTCTTTTCAATAGGTGTGATAAAAGTTACCCCAGTAATTATAGGCCTACTAGTCTTAAATCAGTAGTGGGAAAAGGTATTGAAAGTCTGATAAAAAATGCTTTGAAAAGTGATTTAATAAAGTTTAAAATTATGTTGGACAGTTAGCATGGTCTCACTAGGGAAAAACCTTACCTTACAAATCTTTTGATATTCTTTGAAGATGTTACTGCTGATGCTTAAGTAGATGAGGGTATGAGTGTAAATTTGATGTATCTGTATTTTCAGAAAGCATTTTATAAAGTGCCAAATAAAGGCTTGTTAAAAAAAAATTGTTAAAAATGTAAATTTGAGAGATAGGTTGGGTCATTGGATAGAAGACTGGTTGGATGAAAAAAAAGCAGCGGGTTGTATAAATGGATTTAAGTCAAGCTGGATTCTTGTCATAGTTGATGTACCTCAGGGTTCAGTGTTTGGACCATTGCTACTTTTTAATTAAAATCAATGATATAGAAGAAGGATTGGTCAATAAGTTATTGATGATATTAAGGACTTGGGTGTTTTTGGCTGGGATTAGGATGTTACTGCTTTACAAAATGATGTGGAATATTTGACAAATAAATGGCATATGGGTTTTAATTATAATAAATGCAAAGTAACGCATGAGGGATTCGAACCCGCGATTTGCAGATTGGGAGTCAAGCACCCTAACCTCTAGGCTATGCCGGATTCGAATTTTTGTTATAAAGAATATTGTCGGTTTGGTGTTCAAATGACATTTTCATAAGCATGTGTGAGAGAGAGAGTGTTTTGATGTTTTATTTGTCTACTTATGTACCCCTTCTAATTATAATGGTATAAAAAAACAAAACTATATTTTCTAATACTGTACTTTTAGGTTTCAGTATTCCAATTGTTTCAGATGCTGGTATTGCTGAAGAAACTGTCACTCGGATACCTGTGAGTTCAAAAAAAGATATGACCAATGCTATCTCACATCAAAAAAGCTGACACGAAGAGACAGAAGAAAAAGGAAGGCAACCAAAATAGAAAAAAGCAAAGATTACAAACCAAAAAAGTCTATGGTTAATCTGAAAGCAATTCCTACGTCTCTACACAAGGAACTCTTACTAACCCGGAATACTGTTGGCATCCTACTAAAAATTTCAGGAGTTCCACTGGATTTAATGACCCGAATTTTGAAAAAGATCACCACTGGACATTCATCAAGGGAGGCTTATCATGCCACTAAGATCACGTATTCTGATGCTCCATTTTTACTTTTTGAAATTGTATAATTATGTCCTAGAAACTTGAACAAAGCCTCAGTATAGGAGCTGAAACGTCGTCCCGCTTTAGAAACTCTACTATGTCTGCACTGCCTAAAATATCATGAAACAACATGGACGAATCATTGTCTGAAATTCGTCAGCCCAGAAAAACGCCAAGAGCACTTCTTTACACTAGTTCTAGAAAGAGTGTTTTATTAGTTTTTACACAAGTGCCAATAGTATAAATATGATGTTTGATGAATTGGAGAAAATACTAAATGCTCCAGTGAATTTAGCCAAGACCACCTTGAGTTCTGCTTTATTATTTTGTGTGATCCAAGTTCCGGTTGGTTTGAGCAAAGATCCCATTGCAAGGCATTTTGACGTGCCTACAAAAGACTTTTATTAAGGTACAAAATTAAAATTAACGACTGTCATATTGAGGCTCAGGATAAAACAATAATATTAAGTGTAACTACAAGCACAGCACACTCTTACTTAAATAACAGATGTGTTGCATATGTCATGCGCCTGGAAATACGGGTTTGATATAAGTGATATCACGACTATCCATCTGTTCCGATCATAAGTCCAACTTTACGAAAGTTTATAGAAAATGTAGCAAATCATACCGCTAGTTATATAGTAAAGATGGTTGAAAAGCGGAC